AAAGGGAAATTAGTAATGCTCTTGGAGGAGCTGGACTATTTTACTACGACTCTTGAGGTGAAAACCGGTATAGGTTTAAGAGAGGGTTTATCTGAAACAATGGAGGACTTTTGCAATCTAACGGCGGGCGTCTCCAGTAGTGATGGGTCGCAAGCGCGCACGCGCTGCGTTTTGGGGTGGTGGGGAGAAAAGCAGGTGGAAAGGCGCAGGCGTTCGCAGACGATCGACGGGTTCGGCACCTCCTCGCAGCTCGTATCGGAAATGCGGTCCATAAACCACGTGACCTCGATCGAGCAGTTGGAGACTTTCTAGAATACAGGCGAACTAGTTGCGCGTCTCTTGGCTACATATGGTGTCCAGAGCGAGCTGTGTGGACGAGACTCGAGAGGTTTCAACGTGTCCTCCTTGATCGTGGAAACAGACTGCTTCTCGCCTCCGATTGAAACGAGGGATAGTAGTTTATTCAATATCTTTGTAAACAACGGTCCTCACAATAAACTAAAAATGTCGCGAACTTTTTTTTTTTTTTTTTTCGAACGGGGGGTTGACGGTGTACCTTATGGCTTGACTGGTTCGCTAACCTCCAACCCTTCGGCAAAATTCGACAAAGGTCCAGTTGGGAACATTGAATCGTCTAACTTCTAGTCAGAAAATTGAAATATGAGGAAAACATATTATAGAGTTGGTTGTTTTATATTTTACGGATTATAAAAGCAAACACATAAACGTTTTAAAAATTTTGTTAGTTTGTCTCCGCTAGGTGTCATAATCTCGTTTAAAGTTCCGCGCACAATCGCTGATGTCGAACTTCCTTCGAACTATGGGCGAACTTAGCGCTGAAGGTACGAAAAAGCCGAACACTGTCGGACTCGAACTTCGGCCTTTTCCAGAACACCTCTGCTTAAAACAACGGTGGTCTGTGCTCGTAATTAGAGCTGTGTCCTTATAGACAAACAGCAAGCACTGCTTACATATGTCAAAGAGAAAATAAGCTCCTTTATGCTTGAGCGTCACCGAATGGGCAGAGGAGAACCCACGGGTGTTCAAAATATCAGAAACATGTATTTTTTCATACTTTGATTTAAAAGACCACAACTCGCGACATGAAGCAACGTGTATAGGCTGCTCAAAAATGTTGGCGGTTTCCAAAATTCAGTGCCATCTCGTGGTTCGTATAGCAGTTTAGGTTTTGCCATACCAATGGCGGTAATGAACTTCTATTTTATCGGGCACCGTCACTTTCGCAAGTGAACGTCACGCGAGGAATTGTTTAATGTGGGTTGTTTCCCGATCACTTTCAGTTCGATGATGACCAAAAACCTGCAGTTTGAACGAAGCTCCCACCCACACAGACGCCACGATATAATTCTGTACACCAAAAGGGTTCAAAGCCGATTTTGTGCCGCCCACAGATTGACTGAATCTGATTTAGAGATTGAACGCTTACGTAGCTCTTGTGTTCCATGCCTACGTCGCGTCGTACTAACCTCCCGAATGTACATGCCTTGTATCATCCGCTTAGGAGCATCTTCCACGTCTTCCTTTATCAGCCACCAGAAGGCCGCCATTTGTACGGCACAGATGCTGTTCCACAGATAATGATAGTGATCAAAGCGGCCAGTCTGAACTTCCGGAAAGGGTCTCTCTTAAACTCAAAATAAGTGGCCGTGTTGTTCCAGTCTTTTCATTTTCTTATGTAAATGCTTAAACGTAAACTGAGCATGGTTTTGATTCAAGTGATTGAACGACAGGATAGGTACACAGTTCTTTTTAACCGAGGGAACTTGCAATCTGACCCTTGGTTAGTTTGGCTTAGGTATACGTATGGGCTGTTCTTATGCCTTCTTGGCATTATGCCCCTGGAAATTCAGCCCTGTGACGGTATACTGTTTACCCGGCAGAGCGCGTTGCTAGCACCGCGGGCGCAAGTCCTTAGGAACTTGGGACAAAATTCACAACTGCCCTTATTTGGAAGATAGGCACGTGGTAATATCCCGTTCGGTTTGCAGAGAAGAGAGAGAGAAAACATCTTTAATGTACCCTTAGTTCAGGGTGTCAAAGGGGCATCCAGGAGAAGATCGGTAACAATTTTGAAAATGTAGCCCTGACTCTATGAAACGAATCTGTGGCAAGCAGTCGACGAATTTCGCCCAACGGTGTTCGCTCGATCATCGTGTGCTGTCCAAGCAGTGGCATTTTCGCTCCGCGTAAAACGAACGTGCCGCCGGGTGAAGGTCATTCCTGGTTCGTCCCGTGACATCTACGACATCTCCTCCCTATTGAAAATCGTTCTGATGGGACTTCAGGATTTTTTAAAGGGTGTGAAAGGGACTTCAGGAATTTCTGAGATGTTTGACAGGGGCACCGATATTTCCTGGTGGGTTCACTGGTCCCGTCAGAGGCTCTCCTGAAATGTCTAAAGTCACCTTTACGATGCCTTGAAACGTCTGAAAGCCTGTCAAGAACTTTTCTAATGGGGTCGGGAAAACCTTCAGGCCTCTTGATATGTCTGTGTGGGCAACGGCCCAGGTGGAAAAAACACATTTCGCAGAATTAATGAACATAGCTGCTTATTGTACGCTACGGGGAAAAAAATAAGTATTTGGAGAATGCCGATCGTGTGTGAGTACGGTCAGATTTTTATTACTGCTCTTCTATCAAATACGAGTGGGCTCCTGGACCCGTCTGTCACTGCCCGGGTGTTCGGTCGCGGAAGAGGCTAGTGAGGGCGACCGCCCATGTGGAGAATTGACGAGCCGCGGGCCGAGTGGTGTTGGCCGAGCGGCGTTTTGAGGCGAACGCAATCCTGTCCGCTCAAGGCGAAATACGTGCAACCATGTATAAAAAAAAAAAAAAAAAAAAACAAGAAAAAAAGAAAAGAAAAAAAAAAGAACAAGCCGAGAGCAGTGCGCGCTTTCCAGGAACAGGGACGCACGCGGGAGCGACTCGTTCCGGGAACCGGTCCCCCCACGGGGGACTGTCCCCAAAAAGCAATCGCCTCTCTCCGCCCGGCGATGGGGAGAGGGTGCAGGGCTGCGAGGCCAGCGGTCGGGGGGAGGAGGGTGGCGTGTGCAAGCGGGGGAGGCCATAGCCATTTTCTCTCTGCTCGTGTGCGGTTCCGGTTATCCCACGAGCCGGGATGTTTGGAGCGGACCAATTTCCTCCAGGAAGGTGAGCATGCATGGTTTTGAGGGCTCGCCCCTTGGTCTGTTTTGATCCGTGCAGTTGTGCAGTTTCTTTCTTGGTACCGCAGGTGAACCATAGTTCGGCGCAGGCCGCCTTCAGCACCGCTCGAGCGCCATTGTGTTCAGCGCATTCAAGGAGACGGTGGCCGGTGTCGGCTTACTCGCTGCAAAGCCTGGCAGTCGGGGTCAGCGTCCCACCGCATGTTGTGCCTGCGCACCGGGATTATGGCACTGTGGGGGTTGAGACAGTGGATGACGGCCGCTGTCCGGACTTGTTCCTTGCGCCTCTTCGTCCGTCCGACTTCAGACCAGCGAGCGAAAAATACGCCGAAGATGCCGGCGCGATGTCATCATGGACGAAACCGTGACTGTGCTCGGGATTTCTCAACGGCGGTGGGTGCTACTTACGAGTTCGTGGTTTTCGCTAAACGTGCTTACTGAGACTGTGTATGTGTCCGTGAGGTGCACCTGCTCTGTTTTATTAGCTGAACCACCGTACATCAGGAATATACCCAGCGGCATTGTGAGTACTTTGAAAGGTATTTTCCGTTGTGATAAGGATGTCAGTTGTCCCTGTTTGATGTGATCCCTTTCGTCTACAGCTCCTTGCGCCGGGTTTGAACAAGCGTTGCTTTTTGAGTTATAATATGCATGTAAACCTAAATGTCGGCAATAAATTTTCAGCGTTTTGACCTGCATTTTTGTCTATGTTTCACAGTCATTTGGGCGTCTAAAGGGTTGATGGGCTAAAGGGCCTTACGGGTTGAAGGGCTGTGGGGCTAAAGGGTTTTTCTATGGGGTATCCTTGAAGGGTTTTTCTGTAGGGTATTTTTGAAGGGTTTTGAAGGCCTGTGAGGTCCCATAATCCTTCAAGGCTGACGGGCCCTTTAGAAATATTTTCAATAGGGCTGCATAAAGTCCAGCCTTTCTACAGGTCGCAGGCATGCGACTGCGACTAAATTACAATAAAAAGAGCTTGCATCTGAACAATATTAAAAATATTATTGTAAAAAAAACAAAAAAACTTAATACTAATTTCTTACATTGTAGATTTTTTCAGTCGACAAATAAAGTAACTTTTGGTTTTTCTTTTATATGAAAATGCCTAAATAAAACAGAGCGACCTTCGCAAATAAATACTGATTTTCAGCATTGCGTATGCGAGCGAACGCAAGCATTGTGCGTTTGCGTTAGCGTTTCATGTTTCACAATGCGCGTGCGTTCCGAGCTGCAGTCTTGAATTCACGCAATGTGACGACGCTCATGCGCAACGTGGAGCACGCAACTTTTACGCAAACGCAAAGCGCTTGCATTGCTTTTTTAGGCAATACTAAAGCTCTCCGATTAAAAACTGTGCCAGTCGTTTTTCTTTTTTTTTCACGTTTTGATTACGTATACAAGCGTACGTCAGGCAAGGAGTTCATAAATTCAGCCCTAACTCTCTTATTCAACTTCTTGACTTATTTTCTACGCCTTGTTATCGTCAGGTTGTTAGGCACTGTGCCCAATAATGACTCGTTCACATGTCTACTATACAAATAAGTAGTTCAGGTTTTTGTATCTTCCACCAAAAATAAAATAGAGCCCTTACAATAAAAAGAGGTGAGACTCGATGTGGAGTAATAAATCTTTTCATGGGTGTGCATTTTACTGTACAGTGTTCTGCAAATGTTTAAACACAGTTCCATAAGAAATAACTGCTACGTGAATATGAAGAACTCACAGAGCCTGCCAACTATTTCAATGTCCAACAAAACGCGTAATGTTTTTTTGCTTTTTTCATTCACTGACTGATGTTTGCGTCTCACTTTTCAGCCGAACTTCTCTTGATACAGTCCGTCGTCGTGCACCACACTCATTGGGTAACAAAGTTAACAAAGCTGTATCCCCACCTACGTGCACTTATAATGCGAAAGCCTTATTGGCCTCCGAAGACCACAGTCGAGATTACAAAAATCAAGGCAATAAACAAAATGGTATTCGCTGCTGTTGCCAAGCCTGTTCTTTGGGAAAAAGGTGTGTTCAGTGCCCTTTTTTATGCGGGCATCATTGGCCCTTTCACTCTTCTAACCTCGATATTTCACAAATATACAAGTGTAGAAGTTGTACTTCGGAGATATTAAACGATACGAATTAATTAAACATTGTACACTCAACAGCAAAATGCAAAAATTAACATTCCCTGTTTTAAAAAAAAAGCCGGGGTCGACAACATTGAGCCAGTCGTTGGTGGCCCAGGTTGTACATACGTTTCTCTAATTGTGTTAGTTGCAGGCACAAGGCCGCCTGATTACAAAAGTATTTTGAGTTCTACGTTCGTACAATCTTTTTTTTTTTTTATTCGTGACATTATATTCGTCTACGCTTCTTCAATTGATGAACCAAAATAGTAAAGGGAGTTTCCAGAAATCTTCCGATGAAACAATGCTACTGATTATTTTATTCTAAACAATATCTGTCGAGTAAGGTCGTGGCAACCAAATGTTCCTTCGCCTGCGTATAATTCTTAAAACACCAGTTTAATATTTTATAAAGCAGGTGCGTTGGTACAGTTCGTCCATCTCCATTATTTTGTATCTAATTATTTTTAAGTTTGTTTTTGATCATTTTTAACGCGATAAATATTGTCTCCAGTTGAATTTTGATATCTCTATTAGTTTTTTGAGATACCACATATCATAGATTGTTCGATATCAATCAAAGTTCTACTCCGATGTAACTTACACTCATCTCTTGAAAGAACTGAACTACATATCGTTTATCTGATTCCAGATATCTACACCCACACTATTACTGAACTAGCGATGAGCGACATTTACGTTCAGTCCTGGCGAAGACCAATGTTTGGGTGGCTCTACCCAGTCTGCGACCGGACTTACTCCGTAAAAGATGTCGACAGACTGAGGTTCAATTTTAACAGCACGAGTTACCTCGAATACTCATATTTACATGACCACAGCAAGTTCGCCGTGGCGGTGAAAACATCACTTTTCTGCTTTTCCTCGTTGAATCGAGCGGTAAGAGACATCTTAATTATTTCGATGCCAAGTTTCGGTTATCATAATGTCTATATGTACTGTTTTACCAATCGAATGTGGCGCGTTTGTTATCAGTGTGTCTTCTGGCGTTTCGCGTGAAAGTGTGGGCTGGCTTTAGCTGCCAACATAGGTGCTGGTTGCAGCAGCCAAAGGGTTCGACAGCAGCGGCGACGATCTCTTAATCGCAAAACGTCAATACTAAACCCTGTTGCAGATTAGCCTCACCGCCTCCTCTCTGGTGTTCGCTCTGCTAAATTGTAAAGAGTGAAGGGAATCTCGGGAGAAGCTTTTCCAGTTTTTCTTTACACCAGGGTGTCCTGCTTAGACCAGGGTGTAAGATAGGCAGGTAGGAAAACAAGAGCATATTGGGCGACCCGGTTGTCTCCCTGCTTAAGGAGGGTGCGTGGCACCTCACATACATTCCGTGACGCAAAGAAATATAAAAACAAAATATCGTCATTCAGTTTGCCTGTCAACACCGACCCACTAGCAATTCATTTCCCAAATTGTGCATGAATCACGGAAGCTTAATCGAGCAAGGTAATAATATATTAAATGTAGAGGTTCTGTTTCGCCCAGAGTTTTACATTACAAGTTAAAATAAACGAAGAAACTTAAGACTGCTTAAGTGTAGAAATGCGAAAGCATTCCTACAAGCAGTGTGCCATGTTTTCCTTATCACACGGAGCTCCGACGGTGACATAAAACTCCCCCACGCGCACGCGCGTCACCCCTGCCGGCTCCATGGAGTGCATGACGATGCATCTGCGTTGCTGTGCTTTATTTGTGTTTTATTTCTGAGGCGCGTTCGCTTTGACGTTGAGCTCCCCGTCGGCTTCCGTGACAAAGCATCCGCGTTGCTGTGCTTTTGGCCTATGGGACTTTAGGTGCCGTTTCGCACAGCCAGTGGGAACTTAGGCGCCGTTTTTCACTGCTACAGACAACGACTGCTTCGCTCCATTAGACAGTTAATGCTTTCGCATTAATAACCAAAAAGGCGCTTGGCGTGGCAAAACGAAGGTGAGCTGAGAAGTCAGCAGAGGCTTGTCGTGAATACGTCGACGGCGTCGATGCCACTCCACCTGCAGATGTATTCGGCGACCTAGCTAATAAGATTCCGCTGTTTACGTTTACGTTTTAGTTTGACGTGATTTGAAGCCAGCGGTGCGCCGTCGCACTACACTTCGGTCACGCTGCGCCCAACACGACAAAGTCACCCGAACTCAATATCGCCCGCGTTAAATATCATCGCCTTTTCTTTCATTGGGCCGTCATTCGACCGACAGTTTGGAAAACAGTAGCGCCCATACCTCCAGAATCTTGGCCATTCCCAGGCGTAAAAACACGGCGAGAAATGCCAATTTCGTCTGCAACTACCAAATTTGTCTGCTCGAATCACGTTCGGAATAAAAACAAACAAAATGAAAAACAAAGAACACGTCAGTCGTTTCGCGGACGACTTCATAATGCCAGCCACTGACGCGGTTTCGAAAATGCATAAAAGTTAAGAAAAACTTCAATAAATAATCGTATTTCTGACATAGTACGTTTTCTCGCCTAGCCATCCATTGTAAGGCGGAGCCTCGGAGGTACCTGCCGGGCGGAAACCGCCAGGGGGACATGATCCGGTCGCAGCGCTGCGGCAGGTTTCAGTGGTCCTTTCCCAAACTGCCCTTCTTACACCTTGGTATAGACCGACACGCTGTAGCCAGTGTTCAACCAAACTGAATTTGAAAACGGCCCATAGGCAGAAACCAAAATCGCGTGAGGCGTCTGTGCATGCGCAGTGCTGCCAACAGCGCCACCGCAGCGCCGTGACGTCAGGGCCCCGTGTCGGTGTATGGTAGCACGGTTGAATGGATGAATGGATGTTAACGGTCATATCCTTTGTAACGGGGGGTAGCTTGCGCCACCTAGCCTAAATCTATAAAAACAAACATATGATTCCTCCCGCCCTTCTATGCCAATTTTCTTCCCCTAACTTTTAACAGGCAGTGTGGGATATTACCAGTCCCACACGTCCGCGGCAGTGTTTGTGACGATTAGGCTACACTGCCGTCTGTCGGTTATATCAAAACTAAAACTATCTCTGCTCTATCTTGTCTCTTGCTCGAACATACAAAAGAGAAGGCACGCGTAGCAGAGCAAAAACAGAGCCTAAGAGGACTTATCGGAGACTCGAAAAGTAGCTGAATTGTCCCCATCTGAAACGCCCCGCCCCCCCCCCCCCCCCCCCCCCCCCCCCGCATTGGCATGGCAAGCAAGAGACACGGGGGCCCCGAGGGCCGAGGTTTGGGGAGCTGCGTTGGAAAGGGCACCGACAACATGCACAAATCCTGTCGCGACCACCGAGCGAGTCCCCTTCCCAAAACCGGGATGATAATATGTTTTTCAAGCCATAGATGTATAATCAGCGCACTATACATGTTTCAAAGGTGAGGTTTTATGCTGTGCTCATTACCTACAGGCGCGAATTACGCAGGAATATGTTATCTTTAGATCGTTCAATAGGACGAGATGTTACAGGTTTTGTGAATGACAGTATGTTAATTATAATTCACGTATGGTAAGCTCTTTCGTGGGCTGATACAGAAGGCATTTGTCGACGTTTCCTATCAGTGAAAATTCTTACCTGCAGTCTAGACGCCTGGTACGGACAATGCACGAAATGCAAACTATCTAAAAATAACTAAAACAATGTACACCAAGATTTCGGTCTGTTCATTATGTGCAGAAGACAATGGTTCGGAAAGTAAATTACGTGAAAACCTCCTCGCTCAGCAGTTGGCACCGCATCTGAGAATACGGGCGCATTCGGAAACGATTGTGAAGTAATGGGGACGGCCCTATTTCAGAACTTTGATTGGCGCGTTTTCATAGACGTCACACCTCCTTGTGGACGGGCAGAAAGAGAGGAGGAGGTAGGGCGAAGCTTATATTCCGTGTCACTTGTTGTGTGCAGTACACGCGAAGGCAATGCCAGGCGAAGGAAGAAAGGGGGGCTGGGGAAGGGAAGAGAAACTTCTCTCTAACATTCCTAGTGCTCTCCCTTTCTTCGTTCGCCCTTCCTCTCTTCACCTGGCGTTGCCTTCGCCTGCACTGCACACGTGACACAACTAGTGACACGGAGGAATCACTAAGGCAACCACGCCTCAGTGAATCGCGCGTTAGCCTGTCGCCGTCTCCCAGACTTACCCGATAAGCGTAAGCAAACCTGAGAGCTGGCTAAAGGCTCGCGCACGAATCGCTGAGGATTCTTTACATAAGTTTCCCCCCCCCTCCCTCTCTCTAACACCCTACACCAGGCGATGTCACGTCCGTGGAAACGCCCAAATCAGAGTGCCGAAATTGGCCTGTCGACTTACTTCACAAGCTTTTCTGAATACGCTTCCCGTATGAGAGGGTGCAAAGTAAAGCACCCCCCCCCCCCCCCCCCCCCCCTCCGAATGCGAGCGACCCGTCTCCGCCGAAAAAGTAGAAAACTACCCAGCAAGGCGGCTGAAGATTCCTTCCCGCAGCCGTTACGACGGTCATTGGAAGAAAAGACTCCAAAAACGATCCCCACGTTTACTTTTTTGTTTCCTCTAAGACACAGTCACCTCCGTTACACCCTTGGCCATAACAGTATCGAAAAGAAATGCAGCCCCTAAGTGTCCCACTGGAAATCTTTTGTGCAGAGAGCAAATCGTCTGCTTCTTACGCAGGAGTTGCGGGTAGATCAGAATGACGCCGAGCTCTGATTGGCTTTGATTGAAAGGACAGTGGGTAGACCGAACGCTAGACGCCTTGAGGTGTAGCCACTATTTCTTCGATCAGTCAATAAGAGCTCGGCGTTCTGAGATCATCGCAACCCCTGTGTGCAAGAAGCAGGCGAAGTTGCGCTTCACATAAGAAAACTTCTAATGGTCCCATTTTTTTCTGTCTCCACTAAACCAAACTTCCGATTGACTGTTGTCGCATCGCTAACACATCATACAAAAGACATTCTGGCGACACTCTAAGAGGCGTTTGTCTTGCTTGTATGACTTTTTTCTCAATGGACAGACAAAGACTGTCTGCAGACCTGTTTCAAGCAAGTATGAAGCACGCGTGCTCCGAACGTGATTTAGGCATGTAAGCAGGTAATTCTGTCATCGTGTCTGCAGCGAATACCGTGCCTTTATTATGATGTATAAGCAACCTAACTGCGGCAGAAGTTTTTTTTTTTTTTTTCGTTTAATAACGGGCGCGATTGTTCTTTTGAGGAGTAAAGTGAGTAGCTAAACAATATAAGCCTTATAAAAGGCTTTTTAAAGCAGTGCCTGCACATAACACATACATATTGCCACGGAGTAAGGCAAAGAGAGGATATACAATGAAGTAAAAAGAAAGGTTTAATCGGCGAAATTGTGCGAAACAAAATAAAGGACGAGCGTCGAGGCAGCAGAAAGCGGGTGGAGAATTGGCGGCGTAACAGACAGCAAGAGGGAGACTGACTTGACAAGGTATCGCGCAGATCCCTATCTAGCGTGCGTGACTATCTCGAAAATTCAGCAAAGAAGCTTTGAGTGTCGCGCGCTCGGGGCGAGAATAAGCAGGCACTTTTGAGAACACGAAAGCAGGAATTAATGATAAAAGTTACGTCCTAAGCAATAATAAACGGCAATCTTTCAGAGCCCATGACCGAGTGTTGCTTTCTCGGCCCTGCGGGCGGCACTATCTTGCGTGGTATTGAGGAGTTTCAGCGAATATAGGGGGCGCTCCGATCGATCCAACATGGCGGACAAGAGGGGGATAGATTTGCGACGCCCGTAGACCGGTAGCGTATAAATAAAACAAAGCGTGTCGTTCTCTGTTTGTTGCCGTGTGCGAGACGATCATCGTTTCAACCAAGACCTACCGTGATGCTACAGATGAAGTCTTCAAGCCAGATGAAGGCAAGAAATCTTGCCAGAATCAAGATATGTGTGCAAGTGTTCGACGTGAGCTCTTACTTCTGGTGCAACTGTCATCAAGTTGAACCGAATGTACGCGGGTCCAAAGAAAGGTACTTACATATCAACAATGTTCGCGCGTTGAAACTATGACGCGTACTTTATCTAAGACCAAACTTATCGGTCTGCGGCTACAAACATTTTCGTTGACGTTGCTTAGATGATGTAACCATTCAGGCCTCGCATTAAAAGGTGTCGCGAACTCTTCGGTTGTTCTAGTTAATTGTGCTAAAAAGCGGTTGGATAGAAAGTATGACAACTGCAGCATACAAGGGACGATTGAGGTCTTTATCCTGCGTTCTGTGTATCGAAACATCGGTATCATTGGTGTTATCTTACGATCAGCTGGTCGCCGATCGTCCTGTTCTTACGCGTAATGTAAACAAGCCCCGGAAGCGCCAATCTCATTTCTATGTGCTTGTGCACCCCTACAAGCCTCGTTTTGGCTCTTGTGGAAAGCTTTATTGTAATAGCAATAGTCTCATCGGTCATTCGAGTTGTATGTGCCACGGTGATATCTGCTGACAAACAAGTCTGTATTAAATGCGAGAAGGAGAACGAAGGTAAAGCTTTTTTAACTGTTTTCTTTTTACAGAACAGGGCAAAGCTTTTAAACAAGACCAAACTATGCTGATATTTGAGTGTGCTCAAGAATGAATGCCAAAGGTGCTTATGCTAAGTGGTAGATGTATGCAGTTGATTTTCTGTTTGCCTCTGCATTGTAAATGGGAAGATATGTATCAGCAGAAGACACATGTCCTTTTGAAAATGTCTTTTATTAGGGCAAAAATAGGTTTTCATACAGAACCGAAGAGTCGCAACACCATTTAATGCGAGGCCTGAATGGTTACATCATCTAAGCAACGTCAACGAAAATGTTTGTAGCCGCAGACCGATAAGTTTGGTCTTAGATAAAGTATGCGTCATAGTTTCAACGCGCGAACACGCAACATTGTTGATATGCACCTTTCTTGATGACAACTGCACCAACGTGAGAGAGCCCACGTTGTCGAACACTTGCACACATATCTTTACTATGGTATAACAAGATTTCTTGCTTGAAGTGAAGATCATCTCGCTACGACTAGCTACGACCACCCACCGCGGCGATGCAGGCGTCAAAGGAGCGCAACGCAGTCAGTCGCCGTCGCCCGACACTGCTCGTTTGGCATTCGCGGCTTTCTGCCCAGGTGCTTCGTTTGTACTTGGCACCGAGTGTTATTTTCTGTGCTTGTGTGTGATCTGTGGCGAGATATGGGCCTCAAAAGCAGTTCTTCAGGCTCAATAGCGTTCACCGAAGAACTTCTGAAGAAAATGCCACCCAGGAAAAAAAGCACAAAGACACAATGCACCAGCTTGGCGGACTATGCACTGGGCGTGGAAATCGGGCCCTGCGGATTATACACCAAATGCAAACTATCTAAACAAAACAGAAACATTTTTAGGCTCAAATTGGCTTCTGCGGACTATACGCCTGGACACTGGTGCCTGTTATTATGCATTGTATGTTCACTGCTGTTTGTTGTGGCTTGAGACTGCCTTCCTGTAATGATGCAGAGGGGTCCACTGAACCTTGAAATAAGCATATTTAAGCACATCTAGATGCGATGTCCCTTGAAGCCAGATGGTCAGGGAAAAGGTGTGCCATTACCTAATTTGCCAACAGCACACCAATAGCCACGATCAAAACTCACCGAGTCAATGGGCAGTTTTCAACCACAATATTTATTGCCATGTAATCACCAACTTGGTCCATTAAAAATCTTGAGGCTGTAGCCTATAGCACACCCATTCTGGATCGGCAAAGCTTATGCTGTAGACATGCATCATTACATGAGCATGTTTCTTATCAATCTTAAACGTAAAACGCTAGCTATGCAACGAAATTCCCATATCATCACATTTTTAGCAAACTGAATGGTCCCACCTGTTGCACTTTTAGCTTTGGAAGTTAACCAATTCACAATACCACCAGTGGCATACATCGTGCCAAGCATTAGTGCCTCATGTGGCACAAAAATGTCCTAACTAGGGAAGCAAACTTAATCGATTGTGTTGATTAAAGCACTTAAGTACGGGAGAAATTATCAATCAAAGAAAGTCACTCGAAAGGGAAGTTTTCTCGCTGAACGAACATGACTTTTTATTGGGCGTTCCGCAATGTAAGCCCGAAGACAGTCACACCGTGATCGGTACAGAAGCATTTGCTTGGTAGTCGGTCGTGCGTGGTAAAAACAACAACAAAAACAAAGGTGGCTGATAAACGCGATAGATTCGCCTTTGCACGGAGTACTTACACTTAAAATCGTGTCAACATATAGCGACTACCTTGCTAGCAGCAATCTTAAAATTTATCCGTGTAGTCGTCGCAGCCGTGCACCAACCGAAAGCATTGCTGCAAGCCCTTCCGCCGTCAACTTTGAATCGCTGTTGAGTCTGAAGAACTGCTCTATGAGGTCCATATCCAGCCACTGAGCACATACACAAGCACAGGAAATAATACTCGGTTCCAAGTACAAGCGAAGAACCCGGGGCGGAAAGCCCTGAATTCCGAACGATCTGCGTCGGGCGACGGCGGCTGACTGCGTAGTACACAGGTTGCACTCCTTCGACGCCTGCATCGCTGCGGCGGGTGGTCGTAGCTGGTCGTAGCAGATCGTGTCACCTCTGCTGCTCGTACCGAAACACTAGAGCCGCGTAATATTCTTGCTGCCGAAGTTTATAAGCCTACGTTCACGGCCAACGCATATACACAAAGCCACCGCCCTGAGCGCCCAGCGAACCTATCCCCCTCGTTATCTTTCGGCGACCGGCCGCCAGGGCGGTGACACCTTCGCTGAAACTCCTCAATAAGAGACGTAAATTTATTCTCAGCACTCCTTCGACAAAGTTCAAAAATGGTTTCATGGCCCCCGCGCTTTGTTTTCTGCTTTAATATATTTCGAGTTTTTATTTGCGTCAATGTTTATGTTTTTTTGTTTTTTTTTTCTGCGAGTAGAAGACTCAGTTCAAACGAGGCGGCGAGCTACTGTGCCGAGAAAACGAAGATGTAGCTGGTCTATTCAGAAGAACAGTGGTGAAGGTCGAGGCGTGCAATGCAACTGACCCATCTGGTAAGCCCAAGCCCCCAACCGTACCCGGGGGTAAGACCACTAGAAAACCGTGGGGACAGAAGCCGACGACGTCAGAAAAGCCTACCAGACCGTGGACGACGACTACACCAGTAAACAAGCCGACGAAGAGTCGAAGGGACAAACCTACCAAAAGAACAACGCCGAAGCCCGAATCAACAAGATCTTCCAAAAAGCGAACGACGACCAAAGCTAAAAGAGCACCAAGACCAAATCCTCCGAAGACCAATAAAACGAAAAAAACATGACCCAATAAACAATACAGAGAATAATGATATCCTAAATAGTTTTTCACCCAGCCATATTTATAATGCGACAATTGATTCGAAGAGGTAAATGATATGTAGCACTTCTTTATAAAAGTTGATTAAACACATATTTCTCAGCACGTCACATGTGTGTCCTTTGTGTCTGTTGCCGATTTTGTCTGGTACTGGTAACGTAAACTAGTGCCGGTCATATTATGCTACGCTTGTTTATCAAACGGGACATAAAGGCTATAGCCTCCAAATTAAGATACGCTTCAGAGAAACACCTTACTTATCTGGTGCTTAATATCTTCGTTGCTCGTTATATGCAGCTCTATCTGAAATTGTAGAAAGCGGTTTTCCGTCCCCCAAAATTGTTATTGCTTTTTTTTTAATGTTTACTTGAACATTTGAACAAAAAACAAAGTATACATTCACACCGCTAAACTACAGTGCACTAGAATACGAGGTAGCGTCTGGACCGGCTCGGCTCGGCAATGGCAGCCTGTGAGACTACGCCTATAGACAACAATGGCGGCGCTACAGTCGACAGGGCAGAAGAAAGTCGCTGCAGCCCGCACGCTCACAGCCACCACTATACTGATCCTACTGCCCCTCTATTAGCGCCGAGATGTTTCGGAGGCGCCCTCTTATGGTTTCCATCCTTGACGTCACGACTGGGATTTGCCTTGCCGTGACGTCACCAGTTGTTATCCTGGCTACTTACCATCAGGTGCTACGACGAGTTCGATGGTGTGTTTAAAAAGCACAGTGGAAGCTAGGAGCCATCGCAATCCGAAACTAACACCGTCAAAGTTGACAATCTGACAGTGCTCATATGCCCATGGTTTGGCCAATCGTGGAAAGCTGACCGCAGCGACGCTTTCGGTCGCGCACATCGCTAATCGTGGGAAAAGTTGCGCCATTCATTGTTGTTGAAATGCTCGAGACACTTGCCGCGCGCCATTTCTGGGAAGAACATGCATGGCGTCCGGAATCTAGCTCAGTGTTGCACTGTGCCGCGATGATCTTCCCAAGGGCTTCACTTTGCACGTGCCTCGTGCATCGACTCACCTTGTGCTACTTTTGAAACAAGAACGGGCTTTACTGCCAATACGCCGGAGTCGACACCTAACGTGATTTACAACGCACGCCTCACGCGAGCAATTCCAGTCCCACCAATCTTTATACGCTGCTTCACCTTGTGTTGTATCGCAGGAAAGGCTACAAGCGCGAGCTCCTTGCTCTAGGGCACATCTCGGCGGTACGAGCTGTCGTGCACCAAGGGCAGCTGCCAAGGCCATGAGCTCGCGCTTCTAGCCTTCGCTGCGGTACAACATAAGGTGAAACGGAGTATAGTACACTGTAGCTAAACTATGCGGAGGGCAAGTTCGTCTGCTTCTTGCGCAGGGGGTAGCGGTGACGTCAGAACGCCGAGCCCTAATTGGCTGATCGCGACCCCCTATCTGAGGGTCGTCTGCTCCTTTGCAACGTCGTCTGCTCGCAACGTCGTCTGCGTCTGTCTTACCTTTCCTGCGACTTTCGGAAGTGCAGAGGCCAGATTCACGAAACGATCTTACACCAGAAATGTGCGTAAGACATAACTTAAGAACAAATTCATATTCACGAAACGAAATTTTCGTAAGTTTTGCGCAGGTTAAGACGTAAACCTACGGCAGCTCCGAAGCAATCTTACGCACTTCTTGCGATCAAATTAGCATGGCCGACAGCGTCGCGGTCGCGACGACCCACGGACGTTTATTTTTCTACGTGCGCTTCTCACGCGTCCCGACTTCAAGCAGCAAGAAAAAAGTACTTGAAACAGAGCACGACGAACAAGAACGCTGGATCTCCAAACACCCGCGAAAAGCTCCAACATCCACGAGTCCACCAAACGCGACCAAGCGAGCTTTGCAGTTAGGCCTAGCAGGCCTAACTGCAACTAAACTGCAAATATATATTTTGCCCCATTTAGCAAATTTAATGCCAAGGGTACCCGCACACCATAATTATTCAGAATTAATCACAGTTTTTTTTTTCATTTGATGAGCGACAACAGAATCCTAAACGGGCGATGAAACAAAATATAAGCCCACCAAGCCAGGCCAAACCGACGACGACGACGACAACAAAAAAAAAAAAAAAAAAAAATTGGATATCGTTGCAGTTGTCGTAGCTAAGTATAAAAGAGTTATATATATATATATATCTTCTTTAGGATACCTTTTTTTTATCTAGCCAACACGGTCTTGCTCTCTGTTTCTTCAACTGCTACGACGACATGTGTTGTGGTGTGTTGTGATGTGTTGTGTTAGGTTAGGTTAGGTTAGGTTAGGTTAGGTTAGGTTAGGTTAGGTTAGGTTAGGTTAGGTAGGTTAGGTTAGGTTAGGTTAGGTTAGGTTAGGTTAGGTTAGGTTAGGTTAGGTTACTCGTTTAAATAGCGGGCGTTAATTGGGGGGTGGCTTTTAATGGGGCGACGTCGTTGTTGTAGTCGCCGTTCATAAGACCGCATATTTATTTCAATCAGGCATGCCTCTCTTTCCAGGTCATCGCTACTTGGGACCCGGGAACCCCTTATATATATATATCTTCTTTAGGATACCGACGACGACGACGACGACAAAAAAAAAACAAATTGGATATCGTTGCAGTTGTCGTAGCTAAGTATAAAAGAGTTATATATATATATATATCTTCTTTAGGATACCTTTTTTTTTTATCTAGCCAACACGGTCTTGCTGTCTGTTTCTTCAACTGCTACGACGACATGTGTTGTGGTGTGTTGTGATGTGTTGTGTTAGGTTAGGTTAGGTTAGGTTAGGTTAGGTTAGGTTAGGTTAGGTTAGGTTAGGTAGGTTAGGTTAGGTTAGGTTAGGTTAGGTTAGGTTAGGTTAGGTTAGGTTAGGTTAGGTTAGGTTACTCGTTTAAATAGCGGGCGTTAATTGGGGGGTGGCTTTTAATGGGTCGTTGTTGTAGTCGCCGTTCATAAGACCGCATATTTATTTCAATCAGGCATGCCTCTCTTTCCAGGTCATCGCTACTTGGGACCAGGGAACCCCTTATATATATATATCTTCTTTAGGATACCGACGACGACGACGACAACAAAAAAAAAAAAAAAATTGGATATCGTTGCAGTTGTCGTAGCTAAGTATAAAAGAGTTATATATATATATATATCTTCTTTAGGATACCGACGACGACGACGACGACAAAAAAAAAAAAAAAAATTGGATATTGTTGCAGTTGTCGTAGCTAAGTATAAAAGAGTTATATATATATATATATCTTCTTTAGGATACCTTTTTTTTTATCTAGCCAACACGGTCTTGCTGTCTGTTTCTTCAACTGCTACGACGACATGTGTTGTGGTGTGTTGTGATGTGTTGTGTTAGGTTAGGTTAGGTTAGGTTAGGTTAGGTAGGTTAGGTTAGGTTAGGTTAGGTTAGGTTAGGTTAGGTTAGGTTAGGTTAGGTTAGGTTAGGTTACTCGTTTAAATAGCGGGCGTTAATTGGGGGGTGGCTTTTAATGGGTCGTTGTTGTAGTCGCCGTTCATAAGACCGCATATTTATTTCAATCAGGCATGCCTCTCTTTCCAGGTCATCGCTACTTGGGACCCGGGAACCCCTTATATATATATATCTTCTTTAGGATACCGACGACGACGACGACGACAAAAAAAAATTGGATATCGTTGCAGTTGTCGTAGCTAAGTATAAAAGAGTTATATATATATATATATATCTTCTTTAGGATACCGACGACGACGACGACGACAAAAAAAAAAAAATTGGATATCGTTGCAGTTGTCGTAGCTAAGTATAAAAGAGTTATATATATATATATATATCTTCTTTAGGATACCTTTTTTTTTATCTAGCCAACACGGTCTTGCTGTCTGTTTCTTCAACTGCTACGACGACATGTGTTGTGGTGTGTTGTGATGTGTTGTGTTAGGTTAGGTTAGGTTAGGTTAGGTTAGGTTAGGTTAGGTTAGGTTAGGTTAGGTTAGGTTAGGTTACTCGTTTAAATAGCGGGCGTTAATTGGGGGGTGGCTTTTAATGGGGCGACGTCGTTGTTGTAGTCGCCGTTCATAAGACCGCATATTTATTTCAATCAGGCATGCCTCTCTTTCCAGGTCATCGCTACTTGGGACCCGGGAACCCCTTATATATATATATCTTCTTTAGGATACCGACGACGACGACGACGACAAAAAAAAAAATTGGATATCGTTGCAGTTGTCGTAGCCAAGTATAAAAGAGTTATATATATATATATATATCTTCTTTAGGATACCGACGACGACGACGACGACAAAAAAAAAATTGGATATCGTTGCAGTTGTCGTAGCTAAGTATAAAAGAGTTATATATATATATATATATCTTCTTTAGGATACCGACGACGACGACGACGACAAAAAAAAAAATTGGATATCGTTGCAGTTGTCGTAGCTAAGTATAAAAGAGTTATATATATATATATATATCTTCTTTAGGATACCGACGACGACGACGACGACAAAAAAAAAAAAAAAATTGGATATCGTTGCAGTTGTCGTAGCTAAGTATAAAAGAGTTATATATATATATATATCTTCTTTAGGATACCTTTTTTTTTATCTAGCCAACACGGTCTTGCTGTCTGTTTCTTCAACTGCTACGACGACATGTGTTGTGGTGTGTTGTGATGTGTTGTGTTAGGTTAGGTTAGGTTAGGTTAGGTTAGGTTAGGTTAGGTTAGGTTAGGTTAGGTTAGGTTACTCGTTTAAATAGCGGGCGTTAATTGGGGGGTGGCTTTTAATGGGGCGACGTCGTTGTTGTAGTCGCCGTTCATAAGACCGCATATTTATTTCAATCAGGCATGCCTCTCTTTCCAGGTCATCGCTACTTGGGACCCGGGAACCCCTTATATATATATATCTTCTTTAGGATACCGACGACGACGACGACGACAAAAAAAAAATTGGATATCGTTGCAGTTGTCGTAGCTAAGTA